TAGTAGTAGTAGTAGTAGTAGTGGTAGTAGTAGTAGTAGTAGTAGTAGTAGTAGTAGTAGTAGTAGTAGTAGTAGTCGTAGTATTAGTAGGAGTAGTAGTAGTAGTAGTAGTAGTAGTAGTAGTAGTAGTAGTAGTAGTAGTAGTAGTAGTAGTAGTAGTAGTAGTAGTAGTAGTAGTAGTAGTAGTAGTAGTAGTAGTAGTAGTAGTAGTAGTAGTAGTAGTAGTAGTAGTAGTAGTAGGGGAGGCCGTGGGAGGCTTGCCGTTCCTGTTCCCGTTCGCGTATCTTGGGTCGGCTTGAAGGCGCAGGGGGGGTAGACGGGCACGCGACCGGGCGGGAACGGAACGGGAACGGGAACGGGAACGGGAACGGGAGCGGGAACGGGAGCGGGAGCGGGAACGGGAACGGGAACGGGAACGGGAACGGGAACGGACCTATAGGGCGTTCTCGCGCTTTTACGGGGGGGGGCCCTGGTACCTGGTATCGCTCTGGAGGGCCGGGGCCAGGGCTGGGGCTGGAGCCGAGGACCGGGACCGGGGCCGGGGCCGGGGGGCTGAGGGCCAAGCGTCGACGCCGGGGCCGGGGCCAGGGCCCCGGGCCCGGGCCCGGGACTGGGCTGGGGCCCTGGCCACGGCCAGGGCCTGGGCCGGGGGCCAGGGAGGGAGCGAGGGCCGAGGCCAGGGTCGTTGGGCTGGTGGGCAGCGTGGTGGGGGCTCGGTGGGGGCGTGCGGCGTGCGCGCGGCACGTAAGCTCCATGGATCTGGAGGACCGGAGGCTGACGGTCAGCGACTGCTGGCCCTGGCGGCGCGGGCGGCGGGCGGCGGGCCAGGCTGGCGAGCGGGGGGCAGGCCGCCCCCTGGGGCAGAGGTGCGCGGCGTCCCCGACCTCCAGCGCCAGGGCTCTTCTCTCTACGCTCGTGGACTACAGTCGAGGCTGATTAGAGAGGGCACGAGACCCTTCCGAGGGTCACCTTGCCGTAGGAGCGTAGTCGGTGGTGGACAAACCTCTCTTTAGTAAACCACCCTTTTTAGTGAAAACGGCCTAAGACCGAAACCGACGGACCTGGACCCGCAAAATGATGGCCGCGACGCCCTCTGGCGAACCGAAAACGGCCAATTCGCTAATCGACGTGTCAGGGTAGGAGGTCGATCAACATCCGATAGAGGGCACGAGTGGCGAAACACGGGACACAAGAGTGACCTTGATTTGGCAGGGTCGACCTACTGATCCGCCTCGACTGCACAGACGAGAGTGACCCTTTGAAAAAGTGACCTTCTTGGTGCGCGGTCTGCCGACCGCGGCACGCGTGTACTACATGAGCGGCCCGAGTGCTTGGCCTTGCGCGGTCGGCAGGCGAACCCCAGAATCTTTCTGGGCGAAACCCAGAATTTCCAAACAAGCGAAATTCGGAATACATTCCGGCAAAACCCAGAAGCGGGAGCCCAAACCTGGAATCCCCGAAAAGCCAGGACCTGAATCCATTCCAGCCCAAACCCAGAATCCCTGGAGCCCAAAACCGGAATTCCACGCCAAGAACCGGAATTCCAAGAGAGCCGCAAGTTCTCGACGAGACTTGCGTGACACCCCACTCTGCGGGATCTCCCAGGAGCCCACGTCAGCGCCGACAACTGCGCAGTTCGCAGGCCGCCTGAGAAGCCGCGAGATCTCTACGGGGAGAGCATAACGCCCCAATCCGCGAAAGTGGCGACACCTGCGCAGTTCGCGGCACTCCAAAGAGCCGCGAGATCTCGACGGGTTGCGCGTCACAACCCACTCCGCTGGACCTCAAAGGAGCCCACGAAAATGAAGATGATGGCGCAATTCCCCTGCACCTGTGTGTCAGTCGTGATCCCCTGGACGCCTTGACTTTGAGGACTGCCGCGCGGATCGACAGTCCTGACACACTCGGAGTTCTCAATTGTAGGGCAGGCCTGAGCGGGCCGGTGGGCGCGCGCAGCGGCAACTCCACGGAGCGAAAAGAAACTGCTCCGTTCGACGCGCCACGCGGCACCGCGGGGGGGGGGGGGGGCGACACAAAACGACTGCTCCCAACGCCGAAAAATCTCCGGTGGTAATCTCCTCACGGCCTGACCCCCCACACCCATCCTGAGATGCCTTCCGACAGGAACTCGGGGGGCACCCGACTGTGGCCAGCGAGAACGCCCGGGAAGCAAGCAGTGGCCAGCGGTGGGCGGGCGAGAGCGGGAGCGCATGCGACCCGCGCGAGCGTCGTCGTCGTCGTCGTCGTCGTCGTCGTCGTCGTCGTCGTCGTCGTCGTCGTCGTCGTCGTCGTCGTCGTCGTCGTCGTCGTCGTCGTCGTCGTCGTCGTCGTCGTCGTCGTCGTCGTCGTCGTCGTCGTCGTCGTCGTCGTCGTCGTCGTCGTCGTCGTCGTCGTCGTCGTCGTCGTCGTCGTCGTCGTCGACGTCGTCGTCGTCGTCGTCGTCGTCGTCGTCGTCGTCGTCGTCGTCGTCGTCGTCGTCGTCGTCGTCGTCGTCGTCCGTCGTCGCCGAGGGGCCAGAGAGGAAAGGATGGAGAAGAGAAAAGAGCACGAATTCCCGATTTGACCGATCGGAATTCCGGGATTCGAATTTCTGCGGAATTTCAGTTTTCAATGCGAATTTTGGGTTTCGAGGCGAATTCCGGAGTTCGCGGCCGAGGCCGATTCTGGGCTTCGACCGCACGGATTCTGGGTTTAGGGTCGCCTCCTGGGTTGAGCTCTCCACCGCCTTGCGCCCCGTAGAAGCCAGGCACCAAACAAGGTCTCTCTGGCGAAAGGTCGCTTGCCTGTCGGCCATAACTCGGGCCTCCGGCGGCCGTTCGGGACGACTCGGGGTGCCAGAAACGCTCTCGGCGAGGCTCGGCTACTGAAACGCGTCCCGAAGCTGAAGAGCCTCCGTGAACCGACGAAACACCGACGTGAGGTACCCACGAAAGAACAGACTCGAGGCCACGACAGGAGATGTGGCCGAGTTCGGGCCTCCGTGGGCCCGTGTCGGGTCGGCTCGGGCCCCGAGGCCCCAACCTCCGCGGCCAGCGCCACGCAGGCGATCTAGGCTCTGCACAGGTCCCTGACCACGCCCGAACCCTACGAGGGAGCAGCGTGGCGGCACGGTGGCAAAGACCTGGCCTCTGGAGCCGAGCTCTTCACATTCATGCCCAGCTCCCCCGGGCGCCCAGAGGGGGGGGGGCAGCAGCCGGGGTACGGATCGGACGTCCATCGCCGATGGCCACGGCGGGCGGCGCCGGCCCCCGCGCCCCGCACCCGGAGCGGCGCCCCCGGTGGCGTCAGGCAGCAGGGACGGCGTCAGGCAGCAGGCGCCGGCTGCGTGGCGCCGTGTCGGGCCGGCCTGGGCCCCGAGGTGCGCAGAGCAGGCGGGCAAAGGCGAAGGAGCCGTGGATCCGGCGCCCCCGAGACACGAGGCCAGTTCCGCCCGACTCGGCGGCAGAGCACGTCGATGTGGCATGGAAGTGGGATTCATCCCTTATCCTCGAGTCTAGCCTCAAATCATGTTTGCGCGTCATCTAAGCAGGCCAGGCGTCACGCGGCACGCCAGAGGCCGACGCGAGAGAGACGGCACGCCAGAGGCCGACGCGAGAGAGACTGTCGGGGGCTTCGGCGCCGCGATGCGCGAAGCGCGACTATCTTCGCGCCCCCGTGGGCAGCCTCGGCAGCCCCAGCTTCCCCTGCGAGCAAGCACGCAGTCCGGTCGAGTCAGTGCTGGGCCCAAGGTCGGGCGCGAGTGGACCAAATCTCAAGCATCACCGTTGGCGCCTGGGTGGGGAACTCAGCCCCTCCCCCTGCGGGGGGGACAGGGACTACCCGCCCCGCTAGCTCCTAGTCACCCCTCAACCCCCTCCCCATGCGCTCCTGGGCGCTCACAAGGCCACGACGGCCCAGGAAGTCCTCAAGAAGACGGCCGAAGACGCACCGAGGGCTCCAAGACGAGCCAGGAAGGCCCCAAGACAGCCCAGGAGGCCTCCAAAATGCTCCAAAGGGCCCCAAAAAGGCCCCAAGGGAGGCCCACAAGGGTTCCGAATCCCCCCAAGCTCGGCACAAGGCGTCCAAGCTGGGGTGCAGACGGCTTCAAATACATCCAAGACGGCCCAAGGGACTCTCAAGAGGCTTCCCCATACAGTGCCTAGAGACAAAAATCGCTTCATTCCCGGGAGAGAACGCATATGTTTACCAGATGCGCTTCTGGTGTTTTTCGCAACGGCCACGATGGCCAAGGTGGTCCTCAAGATCAACCGAAGACGGTTGAAAACGCCCCGAAGAGGGTTCCAAGACGACCCAGGAAGGCCCCAAGACAGCCCAGGAGGCCTCCAAAATGTCCAAGGAGGGCCTCAAAACGTTTCAAAAACAGGCCCAAAGAGTTCCGAATCCTCCGAAACTCGGCCCAAGACGTGCAAGCTGGGGTGCAGACGGCGTCAGAGGCCTCCAGGACGGCCCAAGAAACTCTCAAGAAGCTTCCCGAGAGGATCCCCAGAGACAGAATTCGATTCACTTCTTTAAGGACGCACATTTTTACAAGATGCGCCCCTGGGGTTTTCGTAACGGCCACGACGGCCCAGGACGAGGTCCTTGAGAAGACGGCAGAAGACGCCCCGAGGAGGGCTCCAAGACGACCCAGGCAGGTCCCAAGCCAGCAGGAAGCCTCCAAAACGCCCCAAATGGATTACAAGAGAGGCCCAACTGGGGGAAAGCGAGATGGTTTTCGCGTTCTTCGCCCCGACAAGACCACCTGAGACCGCGAACAAGCGCCCCCCCGAGACCACCAAGAAGCTCCAGATCGCGCAGGGAAGCCCAAATGAGCCCACACACTGGCGCCCCGAAGGCCTCAAAACTGCTAGCGAGGGTAAACGCTAGTTAAGGGCACCATTTCTTCGGCCGAACTCCTCCGATATGGTTCCAAGAAAGCGTTTGGGGCTTCAAAACATGCCCCGAGAAAGCCCCAGAGGCCCCCAGGCAGCCCCAAAGAGACCTCCAACAGGCATCAAGAGCCCTTTTAAAGGCACCCGAGATGCCCCAAGAAACCCCCTGGAACAGCCAAGCAGCTCCCAACCCGAAGAGGTCTACAATAAACCCCCAAGAGATATCCGAAGACACCCCGACAAGCATCCAAGAGGCCTCTCGCCTTCTGCTCGCCCACCTCATCCTCATCTGCATATCCCCTCTCCGTCTCCCGCATTTCCTCCTCCGTCCTCCCCCCCATTCGAAAGGTAACGGCCACCCCCCGCTTTGCCTCTGCATTCCCCTGCTCGCCTGCTCGCCTTAATACTCCTGGACATCGGTCCTTGACGGGCTGGCGGGAATACGCGACGCACAAAGATTTCGGCAATGCAGCCCCGAATCGCTGAATTCAAGTCGGCACGTGTCGTTACGATTGATTGGGTCAAACTTCCCGATACCTGCTGGACGGCTCCGCGCCCCACGCAGAGCGTATGTGCCTCAGCGTTCGATGAGGACCTCATTAACTTATTGGTGGTCTCGCCTAGATCCCCTAGCGAAGCCTGATGCGCTCCGCGCCGCGAGTTGTTCATGCATCCAGCCACGTCCATGACGACCGCCATGAACTCAACCCCGTCGACGCAATTCATGTGCGAGCCCTTCAACCAGCACGCGCCCCGACACGTTCACCCCCCCAGTCCCATCCACAGGACTTCCTGTCCCAGGAAGCCGCAAACGTCCACCAGCAGTTGGTCTGCGCGGAACCGCTTGGTGCCGCTGAACAGCATGAGCGACGTCGCGAACTCCTGCTGATGGAATTCGATGCGACTCACGACTGGGTGTGCTAAGACGTCGAGTCCACGAAAGGCTTCCCACGACACGTTCGCAATGAGATCTGTGTAGGTCTGTCGTGCCCGTTCTCGTCTGCATGGCGCCGCCGGGACTTTCAAATATGCCCACTGGCTGTTGCCAAAATGTGCCTTTTTAGAAGAGAACGCCAAACTGATGCATGGGGCTCGCTTGGCAAACCAAGACATGGCAATTGACACCGACAAATGCCCGAAAATTGCTCGGCAAATTTTCGTGAAATGTCTCGTCTCAGCAAACTCCCGCAACGTCCAGGCCTGCACTGTGGCTATCCCGAACACGGAGGCACTGAAGGCACGACAGAGCATCAACAAGGCCAGGGACAGCAAGGCATTGCGGCCAGAAATAAAGGAGGGGAGAGGACGGCCGGCACAGCAAGTGCACGGCCGTGGCGACAAGACGAGGTTACGCAAACATTTACACTGATAGCCGATCCAGCCAAGCTGGTAGGAATGGGGAGGGAGGAGGTGGAAAAGAGAGGAAGAGGAGGAAGAGGAGGAGGAGGAGGAGGAGGAGGAGCAACCCCGATTCGTATAATCTACGCCCGCGCAGTGCGCGCCAGGTGGACTGAAGCGCACCCACGCTGGGAGAGCACAGTGGTAATCGAAGCGGGGGCAGCCCAGACTGGGAAGATCGACTGACGAACTGGCGCACAACGTACGCTAAGGAAAGAGGAGGAGGAGGGCAGGAGCCGGGGGGAAACGGAGTGCGCAGCGAGAACGCGATCTGGCACGCCGCAAATGACCATGAGCGGCCGACAGGACTTCGCACGGATGGCGGGGGAAACGCGCTTTCGCATCCTGCCTGTGCTCTTGCAAGCTGGGGGAACTCCAGTCCGCCAGCCTGCGCTTCATGAGGGCGGCAAGGCGTGCGAGTCATTCGGCTGTGTCCCACGCTCTCTCTTACCCCTCCCCCTTCTCGCTGAACTCCACGCGAACCCCGATACCCCAACGCGACAAGACCCAATCATCCTGCGGCGCAGATATACGCCCCGAGGCGCTCGCAAAAAAAACGACGACACCGCAACCTCAGTGCACCCCCCTGGCCCTCATGAGACCGACCCTGTGGCGTAAGCCTGATGACATAATTCTTTAGAAATGAGAACTCAACAAAATGGAAGTCCCAGGCGAGAGAGCGACCCTGGAGGATATTGCACGGAATCTCAAACGAGATCACGAGTCCTGAATAAAGTGCGAGGAAGTCTCAGGCGGGAGCAGTTGTTATTCTTGGAGCCAGGGGCCGAGGCACTCAGTATGGTTCTCAAGACTTCTCCCGGCAAGAAACCTGGTGCGAGAGCCGAAAAGCGCACGTCGACTGAAAGTACATAGTGGGTGCCGGCATGGGAAGCAAACAGTAGTTAACAAACATTCGTAAGTGAAAGCTCAGCCAACAGCATCATCATCATCATCATCATCATCATCATCATCATCATCATCATCAGCATCAGCATCAGCATCAGCATCAGCATCAGCATCACCATTATCAGCATGGTCACCATCATCATCATCATCATATTCATCATCGTCAGCATCATCAACATCGTATCATCATCATCATCATCATCATCATCATCATCACCACCATCATCATCATCATCATCATCATCGTAATCAGCATCATCATCATCAGAATCATCGTCAACGTCATCATCACCATCATCAACAATCGCCATCATCATCATCATCGTCACCTTCATCGGCATCGTCCTCATCATCATGATCATCATCATCATCATCACCATCATCATCAATCGTGATCGCCATCGTCATCGTCGTCATCATAGTCAACCGCCATCATCCCCGTCATCATCATCGCCATCGTCATCATAGTCATCACCATCATCATCATCATCATCATCAATCGCCATCATCACCAGCATCATCATCAGAATTGCCGTAAACATCATCAGCAGCAGCAGCATCATCATCGTCATCATTATCATCATCATCATCAGAATCACCATCATCATCATCATCGTCAGCATCATCATCAGCATCATCATCATCAATCGTCATCACAATCGTCATCATCATCGCCATCGCCATCGTCAGCGTCATGATCATCATAATCATCAACATCGTCACCATCTCAATCGTCATCACCATCATCATCGTCATGATCAACCTCATCGTCATCGTCACCATCATCATCAGCAGCATGATCATCATCACCATCATCATCATCAGCATCAGTCGTCATCGCCATCGTCGTCATCATCGAGCGTCATCACCACCAGAATCACCATCATCATCATCATCAGCATCGCCATCATCATCGTCATCACAATCACCATCGATCGTCATCGCCATCATCATCATCATCATCATCATCATCATCAGCAGCATCGCCATCGTCCACGTCGTCGCCATCATGATCATCATCATCACCAACAGAATCATCTTCATCATAAGCAATCGTCATCGCCATCGGCAAATCGTCATTACTTCCAGCATAAATCACCATCATCATCGTCATCATCATCGCAAGCGTCATCGTCATCATCATCATCATCATCATCATCACCATCAGCATCAATCGTCATCACCCTCATCATCGTCATCAGAATCAGCATCATCATCATCATCATCATCATCATCATCAGCATCAGCATCATCAATCGCGATCCTTTTCAGCATCATCGTCGCTATCAGCATCGTCATCATCATCCTCATCACCGTCAATCATCATCGCCATCTTCATCGTCATCATTACCGTCAATCGCCATCATCATCATCATCATCATCATCATCATCATCATCATCATCATCATCATCATCATCGTCATCGCCATCGTCATCGTCATCGTCATCATCATCATCATCATCATCATCGCCATCATCAGCATTATCAAACGGCATCGCTATCGTCAGCATCACCATCATCAGCATTAGCATCATCAGCAGCATCGCTATCGTCATCATCATGATCATCATCGTCAATGTCGTCAGCAATCGTCATCGTCATCTTCATCGTCATGATATCATCATCATCATCACCAGCATCATCATCGTCATCAATCGCCAGCATCATCGTCATACTAATTACCATCGTCATCGCCATCAGCATCATCAACCGTCATCGCCATCGTCATCATCATTGCCATTGTCATCATCGTCGTCGTCATCATCATTAGTATCATCATCGCCATCATCATTATCAATCGTCGTCGCCATCGTCAGCGTCACCATCCCTCGTCCCTCGTCCAACATCCCTCGTCCCTCATCCCTCGTCCCTCATCCCTCATCCCTCGTTCCTCATCCCTCCTCTCGGTCATCCTCCTTCTCCGCCTCTTCGGCAGGGCGCGCGATGGAAGGAGGGGCAACGCCCGCCTTGTTCTCCTTCTCCTCGTCGCCCTTTCCGAGCAAGAGCTTGGAGGAGCTCAGCCGCCGGATGAGGGACACTGACGGGTCGCAGAATGCAGAGGGCGGAGAGGAGGGCAGGAGGCCTGGGGGAGACCTGCTGGGGGGGGGTCCTGGGGGTGAGCCCCCCCCCCTGGGAGAAGCGTTCCCCCACTTATTCGGGTCGGGCCAGCCTGGCCATATGTCGGCAACTTAAATCCAAGACGGTCCAAGATAGCGCTACTGCACCAAGAGCAGCGCCGACAAGAGCACCGACACCCGTGTCAGCAGGCGCGCCCCCAGCTGCTTCGGGACCTCAGACACTTACGCCGTCGTCTGCAACAATAGTATCTTAAACTTTGCCTCGACCTTCGCGCCAACAAATGCACCGACGCCTGCGCCGACGGCGACGCCAACGGCTACGCCGACAAGTGCGCTTACGAATGTACCGAGAAGCGCGGCCACCGTTGCACCGACAGCGACGCCAACAGGAACGCCGATATCTACGCCGATAAGCGCGCATCACGGGTTCCAATTATGGAAGCAACGCCTGCACCGACAGCATGTGCGACCGTCGCTCTGGCAGCTACGCCGGCAGTTGCGCCGACGTGGGCATCGACGGCTGCCCGACAGGTACACCGTTTGCTGCACCAACGAGCGCGGCCATCGCTGCGCCGACACCAACGCCAACAGGTGCGCCAACATCTGCCCCAACAGGGCCCCTTTAGCAGCACCTAGATCACCCGGAGGGCGGCCACATAGGCATTCCACAGCTGAACCGACAGCTCCTCGACGATGCATATGTTCCGAATTTGCCATCTCAGAAAGTGGTGGCATAGTGCGCTGAGATATGTTTGACGAGGTACCAAATTGTATAGCAGCCCACTGCCGATCGGAGGGACTTGCCACTCTCACATGATGTGCGCCTTGGTTGTCTTGGTACCAGCATTCAGGGCTGCCGAGATGGCGAGGCAAGTCTTTCGTACCATTGTGCGCAAGGTGCGTCGATATCGTAACGTTGGACCGTGTCTCTGCCCTGACGGTGCTTTGACGCACTGTCTTAGTTGCATATACTTCTACTTTGTTTGGGTGAATGCGCGTGGCGGTGGTTTATCACTGTTATCTTCACGCCGCGGCCGCAGTTGTACAAGCGTTATCAAGTCTTGTGGCGCGGGCAGGCGCGCATCAGGAGGTGCTGACCGGAATCTGCCCCTACCTCCCGCCTATAGAAGCGGCCCCTAGCCTGAAACACGTGTGCGAAACAAATATGCAGTTCTCTTCTGCCTTGACCATCCTCGCCCCTACCCTGAGGCAAGAGAGAGGGAGATGGACGAAGGTGGAGGAAGGAGAGAGGATGGAGAGGAACGGGAGAGGGTCGGTGCATGGCAAAAGGGAGCGTGGAAGGGAGCAAGACAAGGGCGGGGGAGAAGGGAGGGGAGGGAGGGACAAGCCAGGTACGCTCGCGTCATGTCTGACGTCCTACCTCTCCCTCCCAAGTTTTACGATTGCGAAAAACCCCTGTGTTCGCACAGTCGAAGGACGAACGGGACAATGACCCCGAGAGGGTACGCGATACATAGAAGAGTATAGCATCGATTGGTGTAAAAGAGCACAGCAAAGCGTAGCATGTCACAACATGGTGTGGCATCTCATAGTCAAGCACTGCATGTACATAACCATTACAAGGCATGGCATCACTTATCGGTACACAACACAACATCGCATCGCATGGGAGCACGATTTGAAGGACCGAAGCGCGGGAGTGAGGCCAGGACCGATGGAAACGAGGCCAACGCTGCAGTGGGAGCCCGATGCGCGGGAACAAAGCCAGGAAATAAAACGGGAATAAGGCCAGCGCTGCAGCAGGAGCATCATGTGGAAGGACCTAAGCACGGGAACAAGGCCCGCGCTGCAACGGCAGCACACCTTGGAAGGGCCGAAAACGCAAGAGCTGCAGCGGCAGTACGATTTGGAACAAACTGGAGGCGCGGATATGGGGCCACCGCGGCAGCCGGAGCCCGATTTGAAAGGACTGAAACGCGGGAACGAGGCCAGGAACGAAAACGGGAACAAGGCCAGCGCTGCAGCAGGAGCACGATTTGGAAGGACCCAAGCGCGGAAACAAAGCCAGCGCTGCATCGGCAGCGTTATCTGTCAGGGCCAGATACGAGAGTGCTGCAGCGGGAGCATGAGTTAAACAACCGAAGCGCGGAAATGGGGACAGCGGGAGCAAGACTTTGAAAGACATATATATATATATATATATAAAAAAAAAAAAAAAAAAAAAAAAAAAAAAAAAAAAAAAAAAAAAAAAAAAAAAAAAAAAAAAAAAAAAAAAAAAAAAAAAAAAAAAAAAACTGACTGTAAAAGCACAGGGAGCGGATCAACTTGCGAAATCCTGCGCAAAAAACACTACGCAGAAAGAGCTGAAGATCTTCTGGACGGAACCCTGGGAGAAAGGATACAAATATTCATAGTATGTAACTGTGGAGGGAAGGGGCAGGAGCGATGAGGCTGGAGCCACAGGAATCAGGAGGGCGGGTGACGGGAGGAGTGTGGAAGAAGGGAGGCGGGTCGAGCAAAAACAAGACAATGGGGTGACGGGGAGGGATAACTGTGGAGGACGGGGAAGGGAAAAAAGAAAGAGTTGGGCCGTCCTGGGGCTCTCTTGGCCCGTCACGGGCTCCTCCAGAAGCCCTCCTGAGACCCTTCCGGGCTCTACCTGGACACTGTTTCACGCGCCCTTTTTTTCTCAACCATCCTTTGGTGGTGGGTCCTCGTTTTGAGGAGACAGCGCCCCGCGTTCCTCCTCCTTTCCTCCTCTCTTCTCCTCCCCTACTCCTCCTCCCCTCCTCCTCCCCCTCCTCCCTCCTCCGCAGTTCGCGTGCCTCTCTCCCACCCAGTGCACGGCTTCGTGGTCCCATAAAGAGCTCCACCGAAGGTCCCAGTGGCGCAGCCCGCATGCGTCTCCCCCACCCAGTAGAGCGTTTTGTGGCCCCATAACCCACAGGCAGCTCCACCCAAGGTCCCAGTGGCGCAGCCCGCATGCGTCTCCCCCACCCACTACCGCGTTCCGTGGCCCCATAGGGAGCTCCACCGAAGGTCCCAGCCCGCATGCGCCCAGTAGAGCGCTTCGTGGTCCCATAGGGAGCTCCACCGAAGGTCCCAGTGGCGCAGCCCGCATGCGCCTCCCCCACCCAATAGAGCGCTTCGTGGCCCCATAGGGAGCTCCACCGAAGGTCCCAGTGGCGCAGCCCGCATGCGTCTCCAACACCCAATACAGCGGCTCATGGCCCCGTGCGGAACTCCACCGACAGTCCCAGGGGCGCAGCCCGCATGCGCGTCTCCCACACCCAGTACAACGCTTCGTGGCCCCACAAGGAGCTCCACCGAAGGTCCAACTGGCGCAGCCCGAAAGCGTCTCGGAGCCCCACCGAAGGTCCCAGTGGCGCAGCCCGCATGCGTCTCCCCCACCCAGTACCGCGCCCCGTGGCCCCATAGGGAGCTCCACCGAAGGTCCCAGTGGCGCAGCCCGCATGCGCCTCCCCCACCCAATAGAGCGCTTCGTGGCCCCACAGGGAGCTCCACCGAAGGTCCCACTGGCGCAGCCCGCGTGCGCCTCCCCCACCCAATGCAGCGCTTCGTGGCCTCATAGGGAGCTCCACCGAAGGTCCCAGTGGCGCAGCCCGCATGCGTCTCCCCCACCCAGTGCAGCGCTTCGTGGCTCCATAAGGAGCTCCATCGAAAGACCAAGCGGCGCAGCCCGCATGCGTCTCCCTCACCCAGAAGAGCGTTTCGTGGACACATACGGAGCTTCACCGAAGGTTCCAATGGTGCAGCCCGCATGCGTTTCCCCCACCCAGGTGCAGTTATTCGTGGTCCACAGGGAGCTCCACTGACGATCCCAATTGCGCATCCCGCATGCGCCCCCCCCCACCCAGTACAATGCTTCGTGGCCCTATAAGGAACCCCACGTAAAGTCCCAGTAGCGCGGCCCGCATACGTCTCCCCCACCCAGCACAGCGTGTCGTGGCCCCGTAGGGAGCTCCACCAAAGGTCCCAGTGGCGCAGTCCGCACGCGTCTGCCCCGCCCAGCGCAGCGCTTCGTGGCCCTATAAGGGGACTCCACCGAAGACGATACGCACAACTGCGGTTTTCACAACCGCATATGGTTTGGTCCTTCGCCAGACTAATTTGTCGAGGGGCCGTCATGAACTCGGAACTCGAAAGTGGCAAGGTAAAGGGCGATACAGAGAACGTCCCAGACGATCCCCCTGTCCCACCTGTGACGTAGAATACCCTACGGATAGCGAGAAGGAACATTGGACAGTAGATCTACAAAGGTGCAGATTGAAGTACGATGTACGCGTGTTTCACATCACTGTAGACAGTTAACTGTCTAGGCATCTACTGAAGCGCGCCGCTGTGAGCCACAGCGGCGGCGGATAGCTCGTTTCGCACGCCTCTAACCCCCGTTTAAAGTCGGAGGGGGGAGACGAGTAGCATATCCGCTCGCTGCATCAGATTCATGGAAGCCGTGCCAGCACTGACCGCACGGCGGACAACCCAACAACCCGTATAGTCGTTGGACTGTGTACTCGGATGTGGGCCCGCCCAACGAAAACCGAACTATATACATATGGAGGCGAAGTGCCTCGCAGAGGTCAGGATCCAGACGCCCGGACAAGCCCTAAAAACTGGGACGGGCCCGTGACCAGGCGAGGACTGCACCCGGCCATGTTATCGAAAGTAGTCGAGGCCAAATTCGCCTGGCGCGGTGCATTTCTTCGGGTCCTGCTTGAACGACTGGATACATGACACCACTTGTAGGAGTAACGCACGGTCAATACTACTTTTGGTGTGTCCATCGGCTGTCATATCACGTGAACCACACCATTCTACACTATGTACGATACCCCTGTCCATCACTTGTCTACTCCAGCTGATGCGCCCTAGCAATGTACATTATATCGGTTTATGTTGGACCTTGATGGGTAGGGATTTGCAAACGGGCTCAGCATCAAGGGTCAGCATGACCTCGATGCAGAGATCATTTGTTCCC